ACACAGACGGATGGACGCACATGTCTAGATCGACTTACAATTTGACACTGATCTAGCATATGTATACTTTGTGGGTGGCCTGAAGCTTCCTTCTGGGTATTGCAAACGTTTTGACAAAATGAATATATTCGTCATTCTTTGGTGGTTGGTATAAAAAGGGGATTGCTCCACTCGCAAAGAAGATCATTATAAATAACATATTTGCATTTACAATCTATGGCAGATATTTGCCACTTCGAACATATATTTAATAAAGATGTTAATGAATAAAATATAAAAGGACGTGCATATTATATTGGTTCCAATGAGCTAAGGGATAATCTTTCAAAAAAATTATTTGAAATTTCTTTATATTTATGTGAAGCAATTCATAGTTCTTAACTACTAAAAGAGTATACTTCATATATATACAAATTGTTCAAAGATTGTGTGTCAGCCAACCAATGATTTATCTTCCTGCCCAGTTTTTGGGATCTTACGTTACATTTATGACTGGTTAAAATTGCCAGCTATTGCTGTAGTCATATTTATCCATTTTCTTTGCACTAATATTTCAACAATTTGACGTATTATGTAAGCAACAGGGAAGTTACAAATTTATATCTAAATCATCGCGATTTGGAAAATTCCAACCAAAGACGGCTTTCACATTCAAGATCAATTAACTTCCTCTTTTTATTTTTAATGTCACTTTTTTTACATATTAATGTCACAGCGAGTGATGCGACTCCAAACAGCATACATTAAAAGCAAGCTTCTATAACAATAAGTATTAACAACATTAACTGACAACATTTCTGCAGCAATTAAATAATAAATAATTTGTTTTAGTTGCCAATTCATATTCCTAAATATGAAATAATAATTCATAAATTGTAATAGAAATTGATTAAAAACACTTTTTAACAAAGGAATTAAAAATTACTAAACAGTGTAAACAAACGATTTTATCACTTTTGTCTAGTTTTGGTTTTCGAATTTATTCGATTCGACAAGTGTGGCAAGCATTATATATATAATTAACAATTGTTTTATTAGATTTTTAATGCTAATGTCTGAATATTACGAAACATGTCCGCTGTCTACCTTTTCGTATTTTTCGATATTGACCGGGAAGAGCGAAGTCATTTTGTTTGATCAGAAATTAAATATTAGACTTCTCCGGTATTTAAGGGATTACCTTTCATTCGAACTCGTACACATGATAAGATCTGAAAAATGAACCTTTATGAACCAATTTTTATGCTAACATGCTATTTTGCGTCCATTTTCATCATTAATTATTGGAAATTAGCCTTTCCTGGGACATAATGGTTTCATATTTAATGGCTATCCACGTATGCGATTATGTCAGGCTTGTAATAGGCTTGCTTGATCTAAGTTTAATGCCGTCTAATTTTATATCGAATTACTCTTGCAAACCGGTTTTCATCACAAAGTTGGGCATTTTTGCTACATATGTGACGCCATCTAAAAAGAATGGTCAAAATTCGTAAGGTTGATTTCTAAGTCAATTTACAGTTCTTGATCAATTTTCACCTTGAAATATTGAAAATTAGCTGCCTTTACCATGTAAGGATTCAAGTTTTGTAGGAGCATTTATATGGGAATGGGTTGAAAAAATTGCTCCATCCGATCCAAATAATTCACGATAGTTTTGAACGCAATTTTTGTCAAGGTTTTTTAAAAGTTGCCTTCCTTTTCACATAACGACTTTTTCAAAAAAGTTGGAAAAATGCTTCGATCCATTTTTCAATAGAGCTTGTTCTTGTGCCAAAAGACGTCGTGCATACATAGGCAACCATTGGAGAGACGAACGGACTAATGAAACGACAGACAAGTTTAGATCGATTCAAAAGAGGGTTCCGAACTCATCCTTCTATCTTCTGCACAAACTTAATGTATCGTGTACTGTAAGTGGTGTAAGCTATAATAAACAAAACTGTTGTAGCGAATATCTAAACATTAAATCGTTGCAACTTGTAGTTGAAATTACGGAGTGATTTTTGTAACTTTATTTATTACAAGGATTGAGTGCAAAAAACTGTTGCTATTCTAGGCAAAATTTGAAAGTTTTTAGATTTCAGGAGATTAACAATTGTTACTTACGTCATATTTATAAGTAGTATATAAAGTTTACGCCATCCTTGCATCCAGCGCGCAATGGTTGACAAGATAACGCACTATTCATTAATAGGTGCAACACAAACGCACTTCCACATACCACACACAATTTGCCTAAATTATAATACAAACACACAACTATTCACGCGGTTGACAAGTTTCACATAACCTTTGTGGTGGGTGCACAAAAGTTCTTTAAAAATGAGCTAAAGAACAGTTTACAAGTTACTTCAAAAACTTAAACGCAAAGACAAAAGTTTACAATTTGATCCCACTTTGTTTGTAATTTTGATATTATATGAAATTATAGACCTTTCGTGGTTATTATAGAAATATAATTAATCAATAAAGTTTAGAAATTAATTGATCAGCCAAGAGTAACTAGAAAAAGTGCTAAATAATTTGGATAAAATATAAGAGAAATTTCTAAATGAATTTGCATAACAAAAACGAAATTAATGGACTTTATGTAAATTTAATACAACGCAACAAAAAATTAAAGTAAAAATGTAAATCATTTGATAACAAAATTAGTTGTATTTATATTTCCGCATTTTTATCATTTAAAATATGGAAAAAATAAAATTTAAAACAAAATCCAATACGACGTCACAATCAAAAACGATTAAAAATACAAAACACGTTGACAAGACAGACGGGGTCGTATATATCAATTGAGCCCAACTCAGTGGCAGCTAGTTAACACTTTATTCATAGCCAAAAAGCAAGTTAAACCAAGTGACGAAAATCATTTACAAGTTGAATGAATGAAACAGAGCGCAGGAAGAGAGAAAGAAAAGAAACAATTAAAATAAAAGAATAAATGAAAGCGGTAAAAACAGAATTGATAATTGCACTAAATATGAAAAGTTTGTGATGAAAAAATTACATTTAAAAAGAATGAAACGCTTTCTTTTGGTAACGCAAAATTTTTAAGGAAAAATCATATTTTAGAACGTAGGTTCAAAGTATAGCAATACGACATTCGAAGTAGCGCCTTTAATGATTCGTTCTATCAGCCTTTACAGGTAACAATTTTTATAAAGCTCCCTACTCACTTCAGAAAATTGAAATCATTTTTAAGTCTTTAATAAATAAAAGCCGCAGGCCATTTTGCTTATAAACACATGTAAATGCTCACCCACAAATGGATGTCTATCATTAATCTATCATCATTTATTCCATTGTTGGCTAAATAATTCTATTCGAGGTAAACCCATTTTCATGATTTCGTTTTTTATGAAGTTTATTTAAAAGTTCCACCGCTATATATTATATACAAAAAGAGGAAGAACAAGTAAGAAAATTGTATTTGATCGTCATGAAGTCTTTTGTAGCCATCATTGTGATCCTATTTTCAACATAAAAGTTTTTGTCGCGGTTTAAGGCGCTTCCAAATTCTTTTGCAAATTTGTAAGCACTACTTTAATTTCCGCTAATTTCGTTATTCCTTTTGAAAAAGTGACGTGTTTCGTGCTGTTGCCGTATCCCTCGACCGATTTGCCCCAATTGCAATAAGAACTTGCGTGCAAGAGCTTGTAATGCTTTTGCCAAACTTAATGCCGCGAGTGTTATCTCAGCTTACGCGACCGTATGAGGTACTATAATTATCGTAGGAAGACATCGACATGAATAAACAGATGCATACATACAGTTCATATATAAGAACTGGATAAACTGATCGGGTATGTGTGCACATTGCAGGCGTGTGAAGCTTCCGTCCTGGCAAATGCTTTGGCAAAATGGACAGACACATCATTAAGATCTCTTGTAGCGGTCAGCTTAAAAACAAAATAAAATTTTTAAATAACGTTTTATTCAGTCATCTCGTTGACAACCGGTTGATACAGTTTTTATCTGTTCCGAGTTCACATAAATCATTATTATTATTATTGTTTCCCCTAAAGCTTTAAGGTCTCGACGAGACCTTTTAATTAGAAAGAAGTGTTAGGGACATTTTGTGTGAAGCAAATAGGAAAATTTGGTTTGCCTGTGGCTGAATCTTTTATGCCCATTACCGTTGCATTAAAAAGATCTAAAAAAAGCAAAAATTAAATTTCCATATTCTATAAAATAGGGTGGACGTGGCTGGTTTTTTTCATTTTCATACCGCAGCAAGATTATGAGGTTATGTTGTACTATAGTTGTGTCCTTTGATCGATTTTTCTCAATTCCAGTACCAATCCCGGTGTCAGAACTACCATTCCTTGTGCATGAATGTCCATTGCGGAATGTTTGCGTTGGGGAATGCTTAGTGTAGACAGTGCGCAGGCAGACAAACAGAATGACGGGCAGGCGGACATATTTAAATCGGTGTAGTATTTTATACCGAACAAAAATAATTATATTTTACGTGGTGCCTGAAGCGTCTATCTAGGAATTGCAAGCGTTTCAACAAAATCAATATTCTCCTCATTTTTCGGTGATCGGTATAAAAATAAGAACAAATATGATGAAGTTTACAAATTAATTAATAAGTTAAAACTAGTTTGTGAGCAATGCTTTGGCTCAGGAAACTATTATTGGCTAGCAAGTAGTATCGAATGTATTTAAGTTTACGTTTGAGAATATGACCTAATGTTAAATTCTTTCTGATTTTTTAAGAAATAAATTTGCTTTTAATTCTTCTATAAATTCGAAAAGATGTTTCGTACGTCCGCACAAACCTGATAAGCCTGTGATCGTAGCACAAATCCTATGGAGTAGAAAAAAAAAATAGTTCATCTGTCGAATAATTTCGCTTTTAAATATTTCGTAACCTTTAGCTCATAATTCACACATAGAGATACAGCGCGTTCAGAGTAGTCTGAGTCAAATTTATGTCTGGAACTAAAAACTATAACTTTAATTTTTAATGATTTTTTTCCTCTTGACAGCTGGATCTCCTATATTTTATAGTCCTACACCGCGTGGTTACTGCAGTAATTGTTGCGAAATTAAGGAAAGAGATGATATAAAATTTATGCTTTATACTAGGTGCGAAAATAAAATTCTTTTTTTGAGAACTTTTATTTTTATTCTACTTTTTCTCCTCTATATAGAGAGAATCCTTTTAAAACGCAATTTTTATATTTGAGTGATGAGCGACGTTTACGCAAAAGTAATTTCAATTTTAATTATCCGCTGGCTATATATCTCCATGGTTTCTCAGAATCGGCCACTGGCGAGAAGCAAAGCAGTCAGGAGCTTAAAGATGGTAAGTTTACATATATACGTAGCTTTATATATATGTATACATATGTATAGCAACCGATTACACATAAATTGCAATACATTCATTTATTGTGTTAATTACTGTGCAGCATTTTTGAAAAGAGGAAATTACAACGTCATACTCATTGATTGGAGTGCTATGACTGCCGTACCATGGTATACAAATGCTGTGGATAATATGAATGTGGTAGCTCGTTACATAGCCAGATTTATACGTTTTCTTGTAATGCAAGGTTATCCGGTACAGCGTATGCATCTGATAGGCTTCAGTTTGGGAGCAGAAGTTGCAGGTTTTATTGGTAAACAGTTACAAGAGCGGGGCATAAATTTAAAACGAATAACCGGTAAATTATAAAATAGGCTAACAATAATGTAATATATTTTATACGTTATTTAATTTAAGGTCTTGATCCTGCTCTTCCATTATTTGACGATAACAGCTCAAATCGTCGACTTAAGCCGGCTGATGCTTATTTCGTTGATGTTATTCATACGGACGGCGGAATCTTGGGTAACCCTGAAGCTATGGGTCATGTCGATTTCTATCCTAACGGCGGTCACGCATTACAACCTGGGTGTGCACGTCAAGAGATAGCTAATAATCGTTGGCTCGGCATATTAGGTGAGTTGGTTTCGTTACAATTTCATCAGCTGTGTATATCCAATACACAGATACTTTATTAAACTTTTTATGAATTTTCGTTTAGTTGGCTGTAGTCATCAACGTGCTTGGGAATATTTTATTGAATCAATACGTAACCCGTTGGCGTTTCAAGCTAACAGATGTGAGCCGTCGAAGCTATTTGGCATTTGTCAACGTGATGGCAATGGCATGGCTTACATGGGGATGGGGGCAGATCGAAGGTAACGTGCAAAGTTAATTGAAATTATAAAAGAAAATTTAAGGTTTATGAGAAAAAACCAAGAAAATTTTAATATCTTGTTGAATTTCAAGCATGGGGTGTAGTATTGTTATTAAAAAGATCTTAAGAGTTTTCCGTTTAAATGTTTCAATATTTTATTTTTTGTTGGATTGGCAATACTGACATTCTTGTCAAATTTCATACCATTACCTTTCGTAGTTAATGATGTACGCTTGTTACCTTCTACCTAATTAAGTCAATTCTTCGATACAGGTTCATCTTCTCCGAAGATTAGAGAATAGTCAGTAGTTAATGATAAAAATGGACAATAGAGCGGTATGCGTTCATTCCCAAGTGAAAAAGTCCCGTTCCACAGCCAAAAGTGTGCCGAGTAATTTTACGCGAACGCTCCACAATATTTAAGTAGAATTTCTTGTTAAATATTAGGCTTGGCAGAAGAAACTCATAATGCGTTATAGGTTGATAATCGTGTAAATCGTGATCTTATTCAATTTTGGTTACAGTAACAAATTCGTCGATTACGCAAAAAAAAAATCCTATGAAAACCAAGTCCGTTCACTTACACAGCTTAAATATTTTACTGGGACTATAAATCAGTTTGGTTCCCTTTTTGTTGTCAAAAATGGATTTATATTAGAATGAAATAAAAGAACAGGTTAATCAAAATGTTGTCCATAATTGGTTACTATTTGTTGCACTTTTCAGGCAATGTTAGAATTCCATCTCGAAAAAATGTTACGTTTATCATAAGTATTTTCAGAAAAACCAATGTTTGGGTGTCTCCATAAGACGGGAAATAAAGTTTAAACAAACAATAAGTCATATATTGAAATCCATGATAATTGGAAGAAATTCTGTCTGCTCATAAAAGCGGGGAATGTAAGACATTGTAGGTTAGAGATGCAAACTTATCCTGAGTGGGTTTGAGTAAAAAGGATTGAGTTTCAATGTATTAGAAAGTCACAATATCATGGCTTTTGGCATATCATGCCTATTTTTTGCCACAGTTACGTCAATTATTATTGGTAGCACTCCATAGTGACGGTCTCATTCAATTAGAAAAAATCATAATACACCGCGCACGGTTGGCTTATATGAGGTAGAGTTTCATCGTACTAAAATGTCACGATTTCATGACTTCGTTAATGCTATCCTGAATAAGAGACCACTGTAATTTTACTTTAAGGCTAAAAAGACTAACTCTCTTTGCCACTGTTGATAGCGTTAAGATTGGAGGGAAGTTGTTTCAACGACACTGCGCATTACGCTACTAAAGACTTTATTATTATGAAGACTTTACTAAGGACTTTATTGAAATGACCGCTTGGGGATTCCTACTCAAGCAGTTAAACTGTTGTAAACAATTGTAAAGGGAGGGGAGTGAGTCAAATATAATAGTTTTCAATAAATATACTAGAATTCTAAATTTTGCCAGCTTAGTATTCATAATGAATGTGTATGTCATGACCTATCCATCTACCCTTATCGAATTTACTCACCAAATTTTATCATTACGTATCCTTGCCACAATAACGTATATCATTACAACCTAATTTCATGTTACATATACTCAGCATCTGACAAGTGTACGAACATATCCATAAAGACTGGTTATCGCAGTTAACTGGTTAAGACTGCCCTCAAAAAAGAATTGTAAGAAAATTCCAAAACAAAAAGTATAAATGACATCTGAGACGGATATTGTAGACAAACCGCAGGATTTTAGGGATAGATAATATTATCTATAGGACATTCTGTAACAACCACAATAAATTAGAAGAGAGTGAACGAGTTTAAGTTGCATGTTCTTTTGTAGGCAAATATTTAGAATTTACGCAAAGTTGGACAAAATTTTGCCTTACGAGGGCTAAAGCATAAGTTCTTATCAAGTCCTACCTCAAGAGAACGCATTGACTTCACGAATTCAATATACGTATCACGAGGCTTAATATATTATTTAATATAGTAAAGATGACGCCATTATGCCTAGGTCGGTTATTCGCGGTTATGCAGGCAGAATTATTAAACATCCAATTATTAATTCTAGCTAGACATTCATTTAATTTAATTTCAAAAAAATTACAAGTTCGGGATTCCGGCTTAAGAATATAAGTTTGGATAAGATTGCATACACTTCTAGGAAAATTAAGAATTGTGATAAAGCACTTCAATGATTTAATTTACCCTATACCAGTTCTGATACAAGGATATGTTATGCAGATGTATACAACGCCCAAAGGGACTTGAGATAGATAAGGATTCAGAATCACTTTTTGAATCGAGTAGGATATTTGGCACATCAACGTATTTTGGCTCAAAGACGAACGCTTTGAAAATGGTTCGGATCGGGCCACATTTTTCTTCATTTAATGGTGGACTCTGCTTTTGCTTGTTTTAAGTAACAAATAAATGATTTCACGCGTTTTTTTTATCCGTATGGACACATACGATAAAAGGACACATCTTAAATATTTTCAAGCTGAATTTTATTGATCCCCTTAAAAAAGAAAGTATACTTGATTCAATCTGCTTACTTCTTTGAAAAGTGTGTGAAACTCGAATTGTTTTCTTTCGTAAAAAAATTCACAGAAGGACTTATTTAACTTAAACAAATTGGTTTTTCACGAAAGATTCATTCATTTCATTTATCACATTCATGCACAACATTTATTCTTAGTCAACTTCAACGAATGTTAACCATAAATTTCTTTTAATATATGTTGTTTCACTTCCTTTTCTTTTTTACAGATTACGCGGTAAATATTTTTTGGATACTAACGATGAGGCACCGTATGGCCGCAATGCTTTAGGCCGTATTCTAAAGTTATCATCAACTGCCGTAATTGCGTTGCCTTTAAAATATAGCAACAATGTGACAACGACAACAGCAGCTGGAGATGCAACACAAGTAGCTGACACATTGATAGATGTCATACCAACAATAACAGCGGCGACGAGGCAAAGGCAACAACAACAACCACAAGAACGGGAGCAACAAAAGGATCTAACAGAATGGTATGATAGCAATGATAGCAATGGTTACAATGATTACGGTGGCATACTTTAATCAGCAAAAGTAAAACTCAAGTAAAGATGGAAACGTGATGAAATTGAATAACGGCAACGAACAAGACAAAACAAGTAAAAAGAAAGAAAACGGAAGAAAAAAATTGACTAATCAAAAACCAAGTTTTGGAAAGTTTTACATGAAATTCTTTAAATTGGAAAATTCCTTTAAAGAACTAGATATAGATAAACTGGGTGGCATTATCGTGTGGACAATCCGTATGGCGACCTAAAATATTTATTGTACTCAACTGTATGGCATAGTTTAGAGTATCACACGATCTAACCTATAAAGTTTCTATTTCTGCATATATATTTAAATATAGTAACTACACAAAGTATTAAACCTAAGAGTCAAAGTAAAATCAAATAAATTATAACAGTTTTTGTACGGCATAAGAAACTAAAAGTTTAAATTCAAAACTATTGTGAAAGTATTGTTTTTTGATTAATTTAACTTAATTACAATTCGTGCATAACCGTAATTTAATTACTTATTGAATTCTCTTCGTTGCGAAGACATCCTCATGCAACCCACACTTGAAATATTTTTACATAAATCATTGAAATGTCGATTCATAAAATGCAAAATAGAAATATCCACCCTAGCACTTATGCAAATACTTAATACTTAAGTATCCATCATTTGCACTTTATTGGAAGGCATTTATAATGACAATCCGGCAGCAAGCAATGAAACACTTTTGAAACTTCTACACAAACTATGAAATAATGTAAAAAACGAGCATTGACGTTTATTTCTACATTTCCGCGCAACACAAATTTGGGTTATATGTGCGTTATGTACACATTAGCTTATTTGACGTACACTATGCCAACTTGAAAAAGTATTGACATTTTGCTAAAATATTAAAAAAAAAAACAAATTAAAATGAATGGGAAGCAATTAAAAATTACCGTAAAAAAATATATATAAACAAGGGCAAAGAGCATAAATAAACATTATTGTTTGAAGTATTGTGAGAAAAAAATATGCTACGAAGGGGCTGAATACTGGCAACAGCGAAAGCAAATGTCATTATCACCTTAATAATGCTCAATGAGGCACAATTGACTTGAATGATATGCTGTTAACGAGAATATTTTTTTATATCATCAGGTAGGTACAATAGGTACAACAATATAATTTTTGGATTAGCAGTCGAGAAAAACAAAATGAAAATTTGAAAGATGTAATTGCCTAGTGGGGAATATTTGGTCGCTTTTAAATTTTAAACGGAATTAACTATCAACGGCCATCGGCTTGTGCTGAAAAAAAGATATATATAACATATCATCATACCTTAAGGCACTTGTAGTATAGGGATAGATTAAGAATGTACGGATGTATCCAACAACTAGAAGCGTTTGAGACGAACCCACCTTCATTTGTATCGATAAATTCACAGTCACTTTCTGTATCGAACTAAGCATGTCTGTCCATCAGATCGTCTTGTCTTCTTGAGTTCAATTTACAGGTAGCATTTGTGAGATAGTTTGATTAAATTTGGTGCACAGGCATGTTTTTTTTCAAGTACAAATGCTACTGCAAATGGTATCGGATGGTTTTGAAGTGCTTAATTTGTGAAAGAAAACAGAAACAAGCTTTGGCAAAAATAGCTTTATTTCCCATCAAAGTTTTCTCTTAGGTCAGCACACTTTTTCCTAGAAATATTCCACATCTTCAATATCTTATTTATAGTGCAGACATTTAAACTTTTTACATGAGCTACCAAGCCCAGGCTGTGTTTATTCATTTTTGGTGAAGTGAATCTGATTAATATTGGGTCGTTAAAACAAAAATAAACGCTTGCCAATCCTAGTTCATTGTCCAAACATAAAAATTTGTTTTACTATTTTATGCTGCTAGGGAGTGCGTATTAAAATATAAAAAAAAAACACTAATGAAACGGTACAAACGAATATTAAATAACTTCAACAAATTAAAAAACCTAGTGTCATTGGTATTGTTACGAAATTCGCTTTTACTAAGATACAGTCCGTGTCACTGGATCGTGGATATTTTGATCAAGAGAAATACACTTCAAAGTTATTTTATTTTACTACTTTGTCTTTCACAACAGTGTTTATCAGTGCTTATTTACAATTATATTTCTTACATGTAGGATTATTCACAATTTGTTTTGGCCGTACTCTCAGCTCAAATGTTCTTGCCCGACTAACTCCCCCTTCCACAAATATTCTATTTATATACATTTTTACAAGCATGTTACTATACCTAAATTTATGGTTTTGTTTCTAATCCCAGCCTGCTTTTCCTCTAATCGTTTTCATCGCCCTGCAGCTGCATGAGGCGCCTGCGAATGCTCATTTGGTTTTTATTTCTTTAGGGAATTTATTATTAGGGAAAATTACTTAGCTGACATTAACTGGATTTGGGATTTTCGTAACAGTATTGAGTTTTTTCGTATTAGGCAGGATGCGAAGAAAAAAACACCGTATTATCAAAAATTAATATTTAGTGGAGTATCCTTTTTGCATTTACACGTTTGGACATATTTTGTATTATTGTTTCTTGTGTAAGAAACAAGGGTCTTACTCTTTTCTTCTTATAATCTATTTTTCCTCTCTTAGACGGAAGAGTTTGGGTGTTTTCGCACACGGTTATCTAATTCATCCCACATATTTTTAATGCGGTTCATTCCTGATGATTAGGGAAGAGAGTGAACCACTTTGGGACAATTATATAAGACGCCTCCTGAATTAAGCGCGACTTAAGCTTGAGGTCGTCATCTTGGTAGAATTGAATATTTCCAAAATTTGAATAAATCCAAGTTCGCCCACAGTTTATTGCAAACTATTCTCCAATATTCTTAAATAAATCTCCTTGTTTAGAATGCCATCCGTAAACACCAATTTTCCGACAATCCAATGCATGCCCACACTATGATATAGCCATTGCCATGCTCGCCGCAAACCGTTGCGACAAGAACTTAATAGGAAACTAAGACTAGAATTTGTCAGGAAAAACGGCCAATCCTTAGCGAAACGACTAAAGGAAATATAACGAAAAAAAATGAACTTAGAAACGTGTTTTTTCGTCTAGTCTTGTTTTCCAGTTGCGTTCTTGTACCAACGCTTGTGTTACCTCAAGTGTTATGGGAATATATACGCTATCTCTGCGGGCGCTTTCAGTCGACTGCCGTTTAAAACCATATTGTAGATTTCTTCAACATCCTTAGTTTAATAACCACAGTTTTGCATGCGATTCGGCACTCCGTACACTTAATTTGAATTCTGTTATCTACTGTTTTATTGTCGTAAACGAACGAATCCCCAGACTAGAATCGAGCTCGCCTTTGTTTTGGATTGGGCTAACTATTTTCAAATGAATCCTGGGTCGATGGCTAATCTTTTTGTAAGTTAACAAAATAACAAGAACAGAGTGTTTACCCATATCTATTTAAGTAAATTTCTTCGATTACCATAAAAATCTTTTTTCATCAAGCCTTCAATCGGAAAGCTGCTAAAGTTCTGAAAACTGTTACAATTTAAGAAATATATTGGAACTGCTAGTTATATGGCAAGGTCACGAAAATACAATAGAAAATATAGAGTCTAATGCGAGTGACCAAATAAGAAGGAAATTTTATAAAGATCAGAAGAAAAAAGTTAAACACAGGCTCAATAAACAAGATAGCCGCACAAAACTAAGCACGGAAATGTTCAGAGTAAAGTGAAAGCGTTTGCAACCCGTATTGAAGGATAGGAGCTCAACGTACGCGAAAGTACGAGTAACAAATTTTTCGTTAACATTTTATCTATGAAATAATTAAAAACTTGATGGATTGTTGAAATCATCGTGATATTCTTATTTTTGTTGCATTTCCGCATTTCCACGACGCACTGTTCTTTCGGCCTTATATGTATTTATTCACATTTAGTTTTATTTGTTTTACTATGGCAGGCAGCCCAAGTTCCAACGGTTTTGGTTTTCAAACTTCATCGATATTTCGTTGTCAACATAAATATTATACCGCTTATTAGGATGTAGTATCAATTCTTCAGCTACAGTCTTCTGAAATTATTGCCATTTCCCGGATATAATTTAAAGTTACAGATATCGCCAATCTTCTATTCACATACCATTGTATGTAAAATTCCGCATTTAACTGATTACAAGGCAGTATATAGTCTGAATTTTAGTCAATCACCCCATCTTTCAATCATTCTCTTATCTATCGACTAGTTTTTAGTGGAAGTGTACACCTTATTTACTTGCGATGAAATGAAAATGAACGGTCATCGCCACACAACGAAAAGCACAAGTTTGTACACTCGGAAGTTTCGCGAAGTTAAACGAAATGCGCAAATATTTGCATATATTAGATAATATAAAATTCAAATTTACCTAGACGACATACAAATATGGTTTTCATTCCTTTTTTTCTCCTAGAAATTGTTTTCGAAAATAGAAGCTCGATCGCAAAGTTCGGAACACAAATAAAGACAAGCATAAGGATTGGTTTTTGGTTTTGCAAACTTCTCGTACGCTGCGCTTTGATTGCAAATGCCTTAAAGTAAAAGTTAGTCTGTTGTGTATTAGACATATATTCTTTGGCTTTTGTTATTCATCGCTGTCAAGCTTGTTTCACTTCGCTTTTTAAGTGTTTTATTTATGAGCCTTATTTTTGAACTGTCACTTAACTTATTTGACTGCCATTTAACATTGTCATCTTAGTTTTTACAAATTTCCATCGCTATTTATATATAAACGTAATATAAGAAGTTGTGAATCCGCGTGAGTGGGCGAGTAGACGAGAGTCTCGACTTTTAACTCAATTCTCGTGGGTTCAAATCTCAAGTGCGGTAGAGTTTTTAATAAAGCCGAAAGCCTTAGATGCTTGCGCTTTAAGAATTTAGTCTTAGTATTTACCCAGTTAGCGCCTTCTGGTATTACCGTGTGACCGTTTGCTCTCTTTAGATCACAGCTCAAATATGCCCAAATCTGCATCGTAAATCACTAAAAAGCAGCTTTTGATTTTGGGATTTAACAAAAAACTTTTTAATATTATTTCGATTTTCTTTAATAACATTTCAGCTAATTTTCGTTTCCAAAAAAGAGCTTTTGACCAGTCTTGGTGACTAGTGCTTCAAATTCAGTCAAATATCTCGAAAATTGCGACCTATAAATTGAACACCAGAATGCGTCAAACGAGCTTAGACCGGCTCAAAATATAATTCTGAATCAATCGGTATAAAAAAGTGGCTCGGTTTTAAATTCTACACACATCCGCATAAAATCATTGCACCCTGTTAAATTGTGTGGGGTATAAATAGCAAGTCAAACGTCATTGACGGAGACGTCCTGCTATGCTTGTTGTCACAAATTCTCAGATAAATGCTTAGTTTTCATAAGAAGATTGATATGAGCAACAAACC